GTGGGGGGCCTTTGGGGGGTGACCGGTCCACCCCCGGGGCCAATTTGGGGGGCAACCAGCCCCCCAAGCCAGATTGTTTGGGGCCATTCGGCCGGGGGAGTGTTAGAAACCCACCATCCCGGGTTTGCGAGAGGATTGTCCGCCTGTTGTTTTAGCCCCATTCCCTTAAAACGGCCATTGGGACTTCTTCCCGGGTTTCCAAGTTGGGAGGGGGTCCGGCCCGGGTGGGGGACCACCCCCCCCCCCCCCCCCCCGCACAAATTTCATGCACCGGGCCACTAGTTGAAATATAATTAAACAGCCATTGGGATAATCCTCAAAGCAAAATACTGCCAATAAACACTATTTCCCCACGATTAATGATACTCCAGAGAACTTCCCTTCTGTATATAACTTCTAATGTAAATGTCAAAGCATCACCCTTAAAATGGAAATTGGTAATGGTAAAGAAAATCATACATACCCTCTTCAGTGAAGAATCTTTCTATGGGTCCCACAAACTGATTGATTTCATTAAGTTCATCTTGGCTAACTTCTGGAAATGGGAAAACTTCTTTCTAAAAATGATAATTAGTAAAAATGAATTTTAGCAACTTTCCATAGTGGTAATATCAGTCAAAAAGGAAGGAAACAGATTGGCTAGGTCCCATATCTGGTAGGCAGAACATTACCAATTAAAAGAATTAGAAAGCAAACCACAGAAGGTGCTTAAGATACAGGAATTGTATGTTAGTCTCCACCACCCAGATACATCCCCCTCCCCTACTCAAGCAACTTTACTAGTAATTTTTATTGCTTTCCTTATCAATAACAAGTTATGATGATTTCCCCATGAAACAGAGAGCCCTGGACTAACATTTCAAAGCCCTGGGTTCTATCTGCAGCTTACTAACTGTGTGGCCTTCACCAAATCTCTACCTCCCCATACTTCCATTTTCTCACCGGTAATATGCAGGTAATATTTACTCAATGTCATTGTGAGAATCATGGAAGATAACTGGTGTGAAAGCTCTTTACTAAAATGTAAAATTTTACTAGTTATTTTGTGAGTTCAAAGATGCTGCAGTTGACAAGAGCATAGTGTGTGGTTACAAGGTCTGACATCTTGTCAGGTTCCCATCCAGTTGCATACTCCAGCCTCCATTCCTCCTGCTGGATAACAGCTGTTACTTTGAATGTGCAAGGTAACAGGGTCACTGAAGGAGGCACAGATGTTGAGCCACATCAACCTTAATTCAGCCCTGGCTCTGCCACTTATTAGACGTGTGACTTGGATAAGTCACACAGCCTGTGTTAGTGTTAGCTGACATCAAATCAACCAGATAGTGTGTCCTGGAAATAAAAGTAATTATAGTTATTTGTATCAGACCTCATACCTGAAAAACAAATTAGCTTCAAATCTCTATCTCAAACCAATGAGTGGTCAATATTTCTGACTAGCCCAGAATTCCCCCATTGGGCCATCACTATATATTACCTAAAATCATCCTGCTGTGTGCTTAGTCCGTTTGGCTTTTTGGGCTCCAGATATTCCTGCCAGCACAGCAGTTCTCAACCTGTGGGTCGCGACCCCTTTGGGGGGTCGAACGACCCTTTCACAGGGGTCGCCTAAGACCATCGGAAAACACATATATAATTACATATTATTTTGTGATTAATCACTATGCTTTAATTATGTTCAATTTGTAACAATGGAAATACATCCTGCATATCAGATATTTACATTACGATTCATAACAGTAGCAAAATTACAGTTATGAAGTAGCAACGAAAATAATTTTATGGTTGGGGGTCACCACAACATGAGGAACTGTATTAAAGGGTCGCGGCATTAGGAAGGTTGAGAACTACTGTGCCAGCATGACATGAGTATTTGGATTTGGAACTGCAGCTGCTGAGAAGTGATGTACCAGATCACAAGCTGCCAGCCTCCAGAAGCCCTGCCTCTCTTCATGGCACCTCTCACCAAGTGTCTCCAGACAGGTCTTCAAAGCAAAGGAATCTTCAATCTTTCCCCTCCAGCCCTTGAATATCTAATCAGCCACAAAACATTGCCCACTCTAGTAACATACTCCCAAATCTGTTTTCTCCCCTTAGGCTCCATGACTAAAGGCTTATATGTGGGGCCCTACCCAAAAGTGAAAGCTGACTTAAAGGAATTCCTGCCTTCAAGCCCACTGACCCTGCCCTCAAGACTGTCTGGAACAGTGGTAGGCAAACCGCGGCTCGCGAGCCACATGCGGCTCTTTGGCCCCTTGAGTGTGGCTCTTCCACAAAATACCACATACAGTGCGATTGAAACTTCGTGGCCCATGCGCAGAAGTCGGTTTTCGGCCTGGGCGAGTCTATTTTGAAGAAGTGGCATTAGAAGAAGTGGGGGGTGGACATATAGAAAGGATGAATGAAAGGAGATAGATGAAACAAGTATATGAGTGTGGATGGGAGAGTTGGAAGGGGTCAACCTCAGCGAACGTACCTCAATCAGATTGAGGACGTTTTTAGCAAAGGCCAGCTTAGGAGTACCCTAATTAAGTTAATAACAATATACCTACCTATATAGTTTAAGTTTAAAAAAGTTGGCTCTCAAAAGAAATTTCAATCGTTGTACTGTTGATATTTGGCTCTGTTGACTAATGAGTTTGCCGACCACTGGTCTAGAAAGAAAAAAAAATGCTGACTCTGCTCACTTTGCAGCCTCTCAGAACAAAGCCAGCCCCTTAGCTGAATATACAGAGGCTCAACTCACTGCACCTGCATTCACCGCCTCATGGTTTCACCTGGGCCTTGTGCAATGAGCTGTGTTAGAGGAAGATTATACAGTGGGGCCTTGACTTACGAGTGTCCCGACTAACGAGTTTTTTGAGATACCAGCTGTCTCTCGGCTGATTTTTTGCATTGAGTTGAGAGAGCAATTTGAGTTAACGAGCTCCTTAACGAGCTCGGTCTCAGAACGAATTAAACTCGTAAGTCAAGGCCCCACTGTACAATTATTCTGGTACTAATGAGCACTCCAGATGAGAAGAGAACAGGTTGGGAACTAGCTGGCCCACTGCTACAAGAAGAGCGATCTCAAGTATATGTAAAAGGAAATCTCTGATATCAATGTTTAAAAATTGAATGAAGTGCCTCATGGGTGCTGGGTTCAATTTTAACATCAGCAGTTTTCAAATGTTTCAAAGCAGTAAAACATTTTTCAACTAAATTTAGTACAGAAACCAAACATGTAAAACAGATAAAACTCAAGCTGCTCTGGCTGTGATGTAGAAGGGGAGAAAGGTCACCCAAATATCTCCCACTCAGCTTCCCACTGGTCCCAGCAGTAGCCCCAGGGGCACTTCCATGAAAAGTGAAGATCCAACTGAGGGCAGTGTGACAACTACTGGTTTAGATGGCCTTGAAGATCTTCTTCTATTCTTAAATTCTAAGCATCTCAGATGCCATGTTCTGCTCAAACCCCTATAATGCTGTGAGAGATGATATTGACCTGAATCAGGGCAATGGTAGTGAGGTGCTTAAAATCGGACAGATTCTAAATATTAACCTGAAGGTAGAGAAAACAAGATTTGCTGTCAGATTAGTTGAGAGTATGAGAATAAGAGGCATCAAAGGTGATTCCAGGAACTTGGTCTGAACAAGTTGAGCAAATAGAGTTGCCACCATCTATGATGAAGACTGGTGGCAGGAGCAGGATTGGGTTGGGAGACCAGGATCTTAGTTTTGCATATACAAATTTGAGATGCCTATTAGACATCTAGTGAAGCTTTTAGTAGAAAGGTAGACATAAAAGGAGTCTGAAGTTCAGAGGAGAAATCTGAGCTGGAGAAATAAATATGCGATATCAGGATATTGATAGTATTTAAAGCAACAATACCAAACTAGACCACCCAAGGTGGGATTGTAGATGGAAAGATCTACAGACTGAGTCTTAGAGAAATCCAGTTCTGGCAGCCGCCATTCCTGGAAGTAGAACAAAACCATAAAGGCACAAACAAGCCTTTCCCAGTCCACCCCACCACCACACATCACAAAGGGGTCCAATGGAGACATGTGGGAGAACTCAGATAGGACAACATTGCTGTCAGCATCTAGTTGTAGGAGAAAGTGCTAGGTTCTCGAGGTACAGAACCCCCATTGTCCACCATACTCCCACAAAGGAATGGTGCCCTGAGACTGAGGCAACCTAATTACAGAGGGGACACCCACATCACCTAGGAATATAGGGCATTTTCCATGGCCCAGCCAAAACCACCCCACAGAGATCTCTGAAGCACTAGACATATAAATAAGAGAAAATAAAAACTTGCATTTCAGCTGTCTAGGCAGAGAAATAACCCAACAAATACCATGAATAACCAAGGTAACATAGTAGCTCCAAAAGATGGAAAGTCTCCAGAAAATAAATGTAAAGACATGGAAATATGTGATTTAAATGGCAGAGAAGTCAAAGATTGAAGTTCTGAAACAAACAAACAAACAAACAAAACCTCAACAAGTTACATGAAAATTCAGAAGGGCAGTTTTATGAATTCAGAAATATAATCTATGAAAAAAAGGACTACTGCCCTGACCGGTTTGGCTCAGTGGATAGAGCATCGGGCCGCGGACTGCAAGGTCCCAGGTTCAATTCTGATCGAGGGCATGTACCTTGGTTACGGGCTTGATCCCTGGTAGGGGGCATGCAGGAGGCAGCTGATTGATGTTTCTCTCTCATTGATGTTTCTCTGTCTTTCCCTCTCTTTCCCACTCTCTAAAAATCAATGGAAAAATATCCTCCAGTGATGATTTTTAAAAAAGAGAGAGAGAGATGAAGAATACAAAAGAATAGTCCAGCCAGCATGGCTCGTGGTTGAGCATCAACCTATGAACCAGAAGGTCATGATTCAATTTCCTCTCCTCTCCTCTGTAAAAAATCAATAAAACTATATTTAAAGAAAAAATTTTTTTTTAAAAAAAGGACTACCTTACCAATAAGATTGAAACGACAGAAAGGAACTAAATAGAAATTCTGAAGTTGAAGAACTCAATAAAAGAGATGAAGAATAGCCCTAGCCGGTTTGGCTCAGTAGATAGAGCATCAGCTTGCAGACTGAAGGGTCCTGGGTTTGATTCCAGTCAAGGGCATATACCTTGGTTGCAGGGTCTGGGCCCTGGTCAGGGCCCGTGCAGGAGGCAACCAATTGATGTATTTCTCTCACATTGATATTTTTCTCTTTCTCTCTCTCTTCCACTCTCTCTAAAAATCAATGAAAAAATATCCTCCAGTGAGGATTTAAAAAAAAAAGAGAGAGAATGAAGAATAAAAAAGAATAGCCCAGCCAGTGTGGCTCAGTGGTTGAACACCAACCGATGAACCAGAAGGTCACAGTTCAATTCTTGGTCGGGGCATATGCCCAGGTTGTGGGCTCCATCCCCAGTGTGGAGTGTGTAGAAGGCAGTGGATCAATGATTCTCTCTTATCATTCACTAGAGGCCTGGTGCATGAAATTCATGCACTGGGGAGGGGGGAGTTCCTCAGCCCGGCCTGTGCCCTCTCGCAGTCCGGGACCCCTTGGGGGATGTCCACCTGCCGGCTTAGGCCCGCGCCCTCTGGGTGTGCATGGAAAGGACAGGACAGAAATTTCATCACACACCTGGAGTCACAGTGAAGTCATTGTTCCCTTCTTTTTTTCATTATACCAATTATTTTTATATTGTTCTTTCTGATGAAGTCAGATAGTTCTGGTAGAGTTCTATTTTTTTCAGAGGAAGCCACAAACTGTGCATCACTTGTAGCTTGAAACAGGTTGCCAAGGGCCAGGCACAGACAGCATCTGACATTGGCCTACACCAGAGTCCCTCCCAAGAGGCCCAGAACCAATACACCAAATGACCAGCTTCAAACAACATCAGAGCAGGCTCCATCAAACTTCACCAACAGCATACCCAAAGGAAGATCACAGCAGTACCCGCACAGCAGCTCACATGCCATGTCAGGGTTGAGCTTCACAGTCAGCTAGTCAGAGACCGAACCCATGCACAAACTGGCCACCATGAATCAAGACTCAATTACAACAGAAGGCCCACAAAAGCCATACAAAGGGCACTGCTAGAGCACGCAGCTCAGATCAAGGCGACTGCACCACTGGGTTCCACAGGACACCTACTCCATAATGCCACTCCATAAAGACTTGGGAATCATAGCAGATCTATTTTATACATAGAAACAAACACAAAGAGGCAGCACAATTAGGGAAACAAGAGAACAGGCCCCAAATGAAAGAAGAAATCTACAGAAAAAGAGGTAAATGAAATGGAGGCAAGCAATGTATCAGATATCCTATCTAATAAAAGAGAAACATGGTAATTAGCCGTACATCCGCTACCCTTCCCATTGGCTAATCAGGGCGATATGCAAATTAACTGCCAGCCAAGATGGTGGCCGGCAGCCATGCACTGAAGCGAACAGGGAGGCTTGCTTGCTCCAGTGACGGTGGACTCCAACGTTCCCCGCCTGACTTGCCGGCCTCTCAGCTGCAACTCTAAGCAACTATGTTGCAAATATAGAAGCTAAACAAAACCCCAGAAACCTGCTTTAGTCAGCCAGGCTTCAGCCAGCCAGACCGCAACATTGTATCAAATACAGAAGGTAAACAAAGGCCAGAAACCTGCTTTCAGCAGCCGAGGCCTCAGAGCTAAAGCTGGCCCAGAATAAAAAAAAAGAAAAGAAAAAAAAGGAGCGGTTGGGAGCTTCAGTCACCCACCAGCCTGAAAACGGCCCTCAGCCCCTCAGCCAGACTGGCCAGGCACCCCAGTGGGGACCCCCACCCTGATCCAGGACACCCTTTAGGGCAAATCAGCCAGCCCCCACCCGTGCACCAGGCCTCTATCCTATATAGTAAAAGGGTAATATGCCTCCCAGCACCGAGATCAGCGGAGCCGCGAGGCCTCCTGGCACCGGGATCAGCATGACAGGGGGCAGCGCCCAAACCCCCTGATCGCCCTGTGGCTCTGTGTGTGACAGGGGGCGGGGCCACAACCTCCCTATCCGCCCTGCTCTGTTCGTGACAGGGGAAGGTGCCCCAACCCCCTGATCAGCCCTGCTCTGTGCCTGATAGGGGGGAGCTCCCCAACCCCCTGATCGCCCTGCGGCTCTGTGTGTGACAGGGTGCAGCGCCCTAACCCCCTGATCGGCCCTGCTCTGTGTGTGACAGGGGGCGGTGCCCCAACTCCCCTATCGGCCCTACTCTGTGAGTGACAGGGGGGAGCTCCTCAACCCCCTGATGGGCCCTGCTCTGTGCATGACAGGGGGGAGTTCCCCAACCCCCTGATGGGCCCTGCTCTGTGCGTGACAGGGTACGGAGCCCCAACCCCCATGATGGGCCCTGCTCTGTGCATGACAGGGGGCAGCGCCCCAACCCCCTGATCCGCCCTGCTCTGTGTGTGACGGGGGCAGTGCCCCAACTCCCCTGTCGGCCCTGCTCTGTGCGTGACAGTGGGGAGCTCCCCAACCCCCTGATCGGCCCTGCTCTGTGTGTGACAGGGGTCAACACCCCCAACCCCCTGATTGGCCCTGCTCTGTGTGTGACAGGGGGTGGCGCCGCAACTTCCCTATCGACCCTGCCTTGAGTTTGACAGGGGGCGGTGCCCCAACCCCCCCAATCGTCGGTACCCTGAGCGTGACTAGGGGTGGCATCGCAACCTCCCGATGCGCCCTGCTCTGTGCATGACAGGGGGCAGCGCCCCAACTCCCCAATCGGCCCTGCTCTGAGCTGGACCAGGGGCTGCACCTAGGGATTGGGCCTGCCCTCTGCCACCCAGGAGCAGGCCTAAGCCAGCAGGTCATTATCTCCTGAGGGGTCCCAGACTGCGAGAGGGCACAGGATGGGCTGAGGGACCCCCTCTCCCCCCCGAGTGCACAAATTTTTGTGCACCGGGCCTCTAGTAGAGTTATAAAGATGCTCAAGGAACTTAGAGATAACTACACCAACATGAAAAAGGACATACAGACCACCAAAAAAATTTCTCAGGAAAAAAAATTCCATATCTGAGATCAAGAATAAACTGAAAGGAATAAAGAGTAGGTTGAATCAAATCAACAATTTGGAAGAAAAGGTAGAAGAGAAAAAAAACCAATCAGAGCAGCAAAAAGAAAAAAGAATTTAAAAAATGAGGATAATTTAAAGGAACTTTGGACAACATGAAGCTAACAACATTTGCATTATAGGGGTATCAGAAGGAAAAGAGAGAAAGCAAGGATTAAAAACTTATTTGAAGAAACAACAGAGAAATTTTCTAGCCTGGTGAAGAAAAAAGACACACAAATCCATAAATCACAGAGTCCCAAATAAGATAAACCCAAAGAGGCTCACACCAAGATACAATATTTGCTGTGGAACCAAATATTCAAATTATCAAGGGTGACATCATCAGCCAAGATTAATATATCCAGCAAAATTATCCTTTATATATGAAGGAAAAAATAAAGACTTTACAGATATACAGAATCTGAGGGAATGTACCACCACAAGACCTGCATTACACAAAATACTCAACAGTGTTCTTCTACCTGAAACAAAAAGACAAAAAGATACACAACTATGAGTAAGATGACTAACAGACAGAAGCAGAAAATTGCAACCATTGTTCAGAATAGGGTACTATACACTTAAATGTAACATAAAGGTTAAAGGAGTAAAAAAATTAAAAAAAAGAAAAGAAAAGCGCTACTGCAATTTAGAAATAAACAGCATAAAAAGGGATAATTTGTGACAACAAAACATAAAAGGACAGTGGGTAAAGGTCTGAATTTGCACATGGAAATGGAGATAAGATGCAATCAGGAATAAAAAGAACTACTGTATATTTTAAACTTTCTTTTACATAAACCTAATGGTAGCTACAAAAAAAAAAAATCTAAAACTGAGACACCTAACAATATAACATTAAAAAAAGAGGAAACAAGGAAAAAAATCATAGAATGCCATCAAAATGAAATTAACAGAACATAAGGGAAAATTAACAATGGAGACACAGAGCTACAAGAAAACAAAAAATAAAATTATTATATTATATATCAATAGTCACACTGAATGTAAATAGGCTGAACTCCAATAAAAAGACAATAAAAAGGAAACCCAATACACAGTCTTCAGAAGACCTATTTCAGCTGCAAAGACAAACATAGGGGTGAAATCTGATACTCCAAGCAAACTGTATCCAGAAAAAAGCTGGGATAGCCATGACAAAATGGGTTTCAAGATAAAAAAGGTAATAGACAAATATGGACATTTTATAGAGATAAAGGGGACATTAAATCAAGAAGACATAACACATTAATATATACGCACCCAATCTGGGAGCACCAAAATATATAAAGCAACTACTAACAGAACTACAGGGAGAAACTGGTAAAAACATAATGATAGTGAGGGACTTAAATACTTCACTAATCACTATGAACAGATCATCCAAACAGAAAATCAATAAAGAACTATCAGCCTTAAATGACACATTTGGCCAAATGGACATAATCAATATTTACGGAGACTTTTATCCCAAAACACTAGATCATATATTCTTCTTCTAGTGCACATGGATCATTCTCAAGGATAGACCATATGTTGGGACTCCAAACTAGCCTCAGCAATTTAAGAAGACTGAAATCATACCAAGCATATTCTCCAACCACATGCTTTGAAACTGGAAATCAACTGAAAAAAGCAAACATACGGATATTAAACAATAACTACTAAACAATAACTGGGTCAAAGAAGAGATAAAAAGATTCAGAGACAGCTCAGCCAGTGTGGCTCAAAAGCTGAATGTGACCAATGCACCTTGAGGTCACTGGTTCCATTACAGGTCAGGGCACATGCCTAGGTTGCGGGCTTGATCCCAGTGTGGGGCATGCAGGAGACAGCTGACCAATGTTTCTCTCATCACTGATGCTTCTATCTCTCTCTGAAATCAATTAAAACATTTAAAAAATTAGCTGGACCACTTGTCAGATGCAGATTCTCAGGCCCCCAGCCATGGAAAGACACTTCCTTTTTCTAGGAAAAATTATATGACCTAGAGGGCCTCAGGAATCTGGAATTTTAGCACTCCCCGTCCCTTGGGTGTATTTGTCAAGTAAGGACTAGGAAAAAGCTTTACCCCAGTCTTTCCGGATAAGAGCAAAGACGGGAGGCAGAGACGAAAGGCCCGCCGGGCTCTGCCTTACCTTCTCGATCCTGCCCAGGAAGAGCTCCTTGGCGAAAGCGTGGGTGCGCGGACTGGAGCGCAGCGCTCGCCTGCTAACAGCGAAGGACCGCAGAGCCCAGCAGGCGCGCGCGCGGAGCCCGAAGACCATCATGCTGTCCAGAGTGCACACCCTCGAAGGATTGTCCTGGATTCCCGCTCCGGCGCCCCGATGACGTCACAACATCGCGCCTCACCACAAGCCAGAGCGCATGCGCGGTACCCGATGACATCACTTCTTTGCGCCTTCCACCAGATGGTGTGCATGCGCTATTTATGATGTGATTGTTCTGCGCCTTCCGCTGACCAGTGCGCATGCGCGGCTGGGGAAGCAGGCCGGGCTAACACCATCTTAATGGTCTCAGTTCCCAACGTTGGGGAACCTGAAGGACTTTGTTTTAAAGTACTAACTGTTGCCGGGCTGGTGGTGATTGGTAGAGCCTCCTCCCATGCACCGGAAGGTGGTGGGTTCGTTTCCGGTCAAGGACCTGTCCCTGGCTTGCAGGTTCAATCCCCAGCCTGGGTTGGGGGCACCAAAAGATTCCAGATCTCTCTGTCTCTCTCCCCCCACCCCCACCCCCCACCCCCATTTCCCTTCCACTCTCCAAAAATCAATGGAAAAATATCTTTGAGCCCAGTTGGCATGGTTCAGTGGTTGAGCGTGGATCTATGAACCAAGAGGTCATGGTTTGATTTCCGGTCAGGGCACATACCCGGGTAGTGGGCTTGATCCCCAGTAGGGGGCATGCAGGAGGCAGCCAATTCATGATTCTCTCTTATTATTGATGTTTCTATCTCTCCCTCTCCCTTTCTCTCTGAAATAAATAAAAATATATTTTTAAAAGAGAAAGAAAAATATCCTTGAGTGAGGATTAACAAACATAAATAAGTTTGTGTTATTTCTATTTTGTCTGAACATATAACATTGCATGGTATTCTTCCGCCCTTATCCCCACTTATGTTTTAATCCTAGACCTTTATAATTTACTAGAGGCCTGGTGCACAAAAATTTGTGCACTGGTGGGGGGGGGGTCCCTCAGCCCGGCCTGTGCCCTCTCGCAGTCTGGGACCCCTTGGGGGGATGACCACCTGCTGGCTTAGGCCTGCTCCTCGGGGGATTGGGCCTAAGCTGGCAGTAAGACATCCCTCTGGCAGCCCGGCTGCCCTCGGGAGATGTCCACTTGCCAGCGGGGAGCAGACCTAAACTGCAGTCAGACATCCTTAGCGCTGCTGAGGAGGCAGGAGAGGCTCCCACCACCACCGCTGTACTGGCAGCCATCAGCCTGGCTTGTGGCTGAGCAGAGCTCCCCCATGTGGGAGCTCACTGACCACCAGAGGGCAGCTCCTGCATTGAGCGTCTGCCCCCTGGTGGTCAGTGTGTGTCATAGTGACCAGTCATTCCCAGTCTTTCTGCTGTTAGGGTCAGTTTGCATATTACCCTTTTACTATATAGAATAGAGGCCTGGTGCACGGGTGGGGGCCAGCTGGTTTGCCCTGAAGGGTGATCCGGATCAGGGTGGGGGTCCCGCTTGGGTGCCTGGCCAGCCTGGATGAGGGGCTGATGGCTATTTTCAGGCTTCCCGCACCCCCTTTAGGGTGGGGGTCCCTGCTGGGGTGCCTGGCCAGTCTGGATGAGGGGCTGAGGGCTGTTTTCAGGCTGGCAACTGAAGCTCCCAGCCTCTCCTTTTTTCTTTTTTTTTTTTATTCTGGGATTTATTTAACTTTCTATAATTGAAACTTTGTTGCCACTCCAGCTCTGAGGCCACAGCCTGCTGAAAGCAGGTATCTGGGGTTTGTTTAGCTTCTATAATTGCAACTTTGTTGCTTAGAGTGGAGCTCAGAGCCCGGCCACAGCAAGCTTGGTTTCCTCCATCACTGGAGCAAGCGAGCCTCCTGCTCGCTTCAACTGCGTGGCTGCTGGCCGCCATCTTGGTTGGGTTAATTTGCATATCCTGCTGATTAGCCAGTGGGAAGCGTAGCGGAGGTATGGTCAATTACCATGTTTGTCTATTATTAGATTAGATGTATCCAATGCTCATCAGTCCTTTTGTCAAAATTTCTCAAATCTCTTGGTTGGTTTGTCCTGTGATAGAGTCCTCAGAAAGGACGCATAATAAGTGTATTCACCAAATTCTTGTATGTTCAAAACCTATGTAAAGCTACTTTTCTATATTTTTTTAAAATTGAGGTCCAGAGAATTTATCTTCTAAGTTAATTAATTGTATTTGGATATGTCTCTCAGTGTTGATAATTGTGGGCTAGTTATTTTCCCCCCACGGACTTAGATCATTCAGGATGCAGGTTCACCTCTTCTTTAAAAAAAAAAAAATTTTTTTATTGATTTCAGAGAAGGGAGAGGGAGAGATAGAAACATCAATGATGAGAATCATTGATAGGCTGCCTCCTGCACACCCACAACTGGGGATTAAGCCCACAACCCAGGCATGTGCCCTGACTGGGAATCCAACTGTGACCTTCTGGTTCATAGGTCGATGCTCAACCACTGAGCCACACCAGCCGGGCATCAGCTCTTCTTTATTATAGACCATTTTCTTTCATTATAGTCTTACATCTTAGTCTTATTACATGTATGTATATGTTTTTAAAAAATATTTTTTTATTGATTTCAGAGAGACAGGCAGAGGAGGAGAGAGAGATAGAAACATCAATGATGACAGAGAATCATTGATTGGCTGCCTCCTGCATGCCTCCTACTGAGGATCAAGCCCAAAACCTGGGCATGTGCCCTTGACTGGAATTGAACCTGGGACCTTTCAGTCCACAGGCCGACGCTCTACCCATTGAGTCAAACTAGCTAGGGCTATATGTTCTCTTTTCATCTGCTACATCTCTACTTTCTCTCGGATCTCTAATACCTCCTTACATTTTATTTTCTTGGATCCTTTTATTTTCATCCTCAATGTCCATTTCTGTACTTTCAGTTATATCTTTTCTCCTTTAGGCAGCTGAGATAATTTTGTCTTTTTCTTTTTTTTTTCTCTTGAGTTTAGTGAGCTTCCATTGCACATCTTATTTGTCCACATTTTTTGTTGTTAATCCTCACCTGAGGATTGCTTCTTCAGAGAGAGTGGAAGGGAGGATCAGGGAGAAAGAGAAATAGCGAGAAACATGGATGTAAGAGAGCCACATCAACTGGTTGCCTTCTGCATGCACCTCAACCAAGATTGGGAAGGGAACCCACAACACAGGTACATGCCCTTAACTGGGAATTGAACCCAAGACACTTCAGTCCATAGGGTGATACTCTAACCACTTAGCACACCAGCCAGGACTTATTTGTCCAATTTTACAGTCAAAACTCAGTTCTCAAATGTCTCCCACCTCAAACAATTTAGTTCTCAACCAACTTGTTTACAGGAAAAAAAAGTCTGGGTTGTGGAACAAAACTTCAGTTTTGTGACCTGACAACCCTTTTATGATGATACCTAAGCACGACAAAAAAGCTTCTCTCAGGCCACTTACAAAGGAAAGGAGAAAATGTACATACAAAGGAGAGAATGATCGCCCTGACTGGTTTGGCTCAGTGGATAGAGCGTCGGCCTTCGGACCAAAGGATCTTGGGTTCGATTCTGGTCAAGGGCATGTACCTTGGTTGCGGGCACATCCCCAGTAGGAGGTATGCAGGAGGCAGCTCATCGATGTTTCTCACTCATCGATGTTTCTAACTCTCTATCCCTCTCCCTTCCTCTCTGTAAAAAATCAATAAAATATATTTTTTAAAAAAGGAGAGAATGATTAGCACAATTTTAAAATATAAAGAGGCAACCAAAAGTGCTAATGTTGCTAAGGGTGTGAAAGAAACAATGATTACAGGGAATTAAAGAAGTAAAAAAACTTGTTGATTTGAATAAACAAAAAGCAGTTAGCTGGGTGACAGCATTTCAGAGTCAGTGATAGGAAAAAGCAAATATGCTGCATACTGACGTGAAAGATATCCCTGGACCCAGTGCTGAAAGTGATTCCTTTAAGGCTGGTAAGGGATGGTACAATAAATTTAAGAAAAGTGTTTATTTAGAGATTAAACAGTACATTAGGCATGTACTATACATAAGAAAGGTTAAAGTGGAATCATTTGTGGGTCTGGAACAAATTAATTAAATTTACATTATTTGTAATGGGAAAAAAATAATTCAGTTTTTGAATAAATCACTTCTCAAACAGCATTTGAAATGAATTAAGTTCCAGAACCGAGGTTCTACTGTATTTTGAGCTTCTGAGTTTATGACTTGTGGTGTTTTTTCATATCTTATTGATTGTTTAGTCATGTTTAATTAATGATGTGTTGTGTTACAATTTCCCCCTGCTTGGGTTTTTATCCTGTTTGCATTTAAGTGTGTTTTTATTTGCTAAAAAGTTCTCATTTTTCTCCTTAAAGTATTTTTGTATGAAGACTGTGTTTATTTGCATTGGATTTTTTGAGACCAACAATAGCAGCATGCCGCAACCTTCGTGGCGGGGTTCAGGATCTGAAGGAGGGGCCGATGCACAAATGAAAATGCTATACAAGAAATATGAATTTAGAAGGCATGGGGGGCAGGTGGAGACCTCTTTCTTGAAGAAGCACTCCCGAGACTGAGTCCCATCTGCTTTTTATTCAGTTTTAGATACACATCTTGCCCTCTAGCAACGCATACAGGCATATCAAAGGTAAAGTTTGGTAAACAGTAAAAGGATGATCAGGTTAGGACCATGGTCGGCAAACTGCGGCTCGCAAGCCACATGCAGCTTTTTGGCCCCTTGAGTATGGCTCTTCCTAAGCCTTAGGAGTACCCTAATTAAGTTAATAACAATGTACCTACCTATATAGTTTAAGTTTAAAAAATTTGGCTCTCAAAAGAAATTTCAGCCCTGACTGGTTTGGCTCAGTGGATAGGGCGTCGGCCTGTGGACTGGAGGGTCCCAGGTTTGGTTCCGGTTGGGGGCATGTGCCTTGGTTGTGGGTGCATCCCCGGTGGGGGGTGTGCAGGAGGCGGCTGATCGGTGTTTCTCTCTCATCGATGTTTCTAGCTCTCTGTCCCTCTCCCTTCCTCTCTGTAAAAAATCAATAAAATATATTAAAAAAAAAAAGAAATTTCAATCGTTGTACTGTTGATATTTGACTCTGTTGACTAATGAGTTTGCCGACCACTGGATCGTTAGGAAATTGCCTTGAG